CTCATAACCCTATGGGCCTTCATGGCCTGTTACATAGCTTTACTTTTACTTGTATAGATCCCTGTAATTTTCTTCTTCTTACTCTACATTGCAAGCTCATCAATTTTGTCATACAGATATTCCATCTTTTTTACCTGAATTGCCTGCTGACTTCACATCTTATATTGTTCAGATTAGCCCCATTTATTTCACTTGATTCCTGTAATCACTTCAATTTTGCTCATTTCTTTTCATCTAATAATTTTGAGCATCCTTCATAAAACCATGGCTTACATTTCTTCAATTCATGATAACCTAGACTCTCTTTGGCTGAAACTTTTATATTCTCTCTAATACTTTTCCAAGCTCTATTAATATCCACCTCAGCATCTAAGTTTTCCAGAGCTGCAAACCTATCTGCGACTTCTACACGATACTGCTCTTTATCCTCTACTTAGTTTAATTTCTTGAGACTGAAACTATCCAAATGAACACTGTGCACTGTTTGTTTTCTTACTCATTACCACACTACAACATAATTAAAATCAATATATATGGCTGATTTACAAAGCTCATACAACAAGGAGGTTGCTACTGATACTATTTGTGCCCCTGATGACCATCACATATACCAATGAACAGGTTATTTTCCCTGCAAAGGCTACTCCCAAGTAAAGCAAGGACAATTTCTAAAAACCTTACCTGAAACTAATAATTCCTTATCTGAATGACAGCACATCAATTCTTTCCAAGTACCAAGCTGAAAGGCCCCAGAAAGATATCAAACAACTTCAAAGCCTGGTTCATATGCTACTTGTAGGCATTATCTGACCCATTTGGCAGTGAGAAAATGTTCCAACATTGTTTGCAAGAAATGTTTAAAAACTACTATGTGCTGCAAATATGTAGAGCTAATGGCTAGATATGAGAGGAGTTCAGCGTTGGTTAAAGCATAATATGTTTATGTATATCAACAGATATTACAAAATAAGAACAAACTGATCACATATGATTAAAATTTCCCAATATAAATCAGTTTACTTGTTACAACGCAACGATACTAAGAAGTGCACGAAAGTCCATCAAACCTCTCTGATGTAAAGTTACATGGCGCGCTTAATTAGGGGTCAAAAGAGCAGAAAACGTAAATCTTCTTGTCTCTCATTATATACAAATACAGTAAAAAAACTGTAACGTGTAATTGTTCATCATTAATTCACAGAAACATGTGCTCAAATATAACACAATTACTGGTATTTATTTCTGTAAGTCAAATATTTAATTCCATACTAATGACGTTGCAGTGTAATGGTCCCCGCTAATTTTCAAATCATATCCCAATATAATCGAAGAATCTTCAACAGATTCTCACCAGTGGTAGATAAGACACACTTCCTAATCGCAAAATGTTCCAAAATTGCGATACGGCATAATACACTGTTCTAACGCATTTTAAAGGGAACGACAACTTTTACCATTACTTTCAACAGTTCTGAAACTGCCATGATATGGCAGTAATTTGCTCAACACAAATGGGTACCCCGAAAATTAAGGTGTTGATTGACCGCAGGCAACATTTATCAATAATTAACACCGTAACTAATTTTAATACTTTACAAAATAAAATATGCTGCATACCTTCATACAATCTGTCAGAGGCAACACTCGTCCTACATTCGCTTCCAACAGCGTCAGCCATCTTCTTTTCTTCTTCTTCTTCTTCTTTGCCCTTCATAAATTCCGCCTTTGTGTGTTTTGCTTAGCAACCAACCTCACGGCTTTTCTATATTTCAATAGCCTCTAACGTTCTTCTTAACATGAATTAGTAGACCTTCACACTGGCCTTCCTTTTGGACGGTTTCTATTTAGTTTTATGTTCAAAATCTTCTCACAGGTTTCATCTTCATTCATTCTGAAAATGTGCTCAAATTGGACAAAAATACATATAATTTTTGTTTTAGCCTTCAAAGAGAAGCTATGGACATTTTCATTTTGTCATGTTACAAACCTGCACGTAGACATTCAAATTTAAATTTATTACTACTTCATTCGAAAAAGAGCTCGCAGTTTGTACGTGTAAAAGAATGAGTGATATTTAACTTGTATGTTAAAGAAAAATGCTGCAGCAATGAAGAGAGATCAGTTGCTTCATAATGAGTTACACCTACCACTTTAGCATCTCTGTGGCATTGCCTCAAACACGGTCGCAAATATACCGACTGGTGGGTAATTTGTAACTTGGTGTTATCTGCACTGGTCAGTTTTCTTTGATAGGTATGGGCGGTATGGAAAATTAAAGTGGGTGGTGATTATACTCCTAACGCGTTAACCCATACGATCTTTGCAGGGGTGGGCTGTATAGTTCGGTAGAGACGGCTTCAAATCCCCGGCAGTAATCTTGAAGGAAGATATCGCCTTGAGAATCCCAAATACACTTTCTTTCCAGCATCACCTCACTTCAGTGGTATGAACCCAATGACTAACTGCTTTCCTGATATAGCCGAATCTCTTTAGACCCATTGTGCTATGCTGATCAAATATATTCTTAACGGGAATTATTGTGATCATTACTTAGCTCCTAACCAATGTGAAAACAACCAAATTCCACATCAAAGGCAGGGTCTGCTCCTCAGTGGGACTGTAGCTGGCAAGATACTTAATTAAACTTCAGATGAGTAATATTAATAAACTAATTGACAATAGATTTTCCGTCAAGTGCAACAATATATATTTTGATCACTTAATTATCTCATCTGCCTTACTGAGATAATTAAGTGATCAAAATATATATTGTTGCACTTGACGGAAAATCTATTGTCAATTAGTGATTGATAGTGTAACGGACCAAAATGAAACAATTCAAAATATTAATAAAATTTTGGCCCACAGTATAAAAACGTAGCACGAATGGGGAAGACAAGGAATGTGTATAGGATATTGGGGGAAAGCCAGAAGGGAAGAGAGCACAGGGAAGACCAAGGCATAGGTGGGTGGACAATATTAGAATTGATCTTAGAGAGATAGGATGGGATGGTATGGATTGGATAGATCTGGCTCAGGATAGGGACCAGTGGAGGGCTCTTGTGAACACAGTAATGAACCTTTGGGTTCCATAAAATGCTGGGAAATTCTAGAGTGGCTGCAGAATTGGCGGCTCCTCCAGAAGGGCTCAGCTCCATGAGTAAGTAAGTATAAAAACCAGCCAAGCAATCAGAATCATTCTCAGTATATGACATGGCAGAAGAGAGTTAGAAACATGATCGTTCTGAACATCAGATCCAGTAAGTACAATATACACTCTGTCGTCAACTTACAACAGACTTCCGTTCTGACTGACAGGTCGTAAGTCGGCCATATATTTATCAACAGTATTTTTTAACCTTGCTAATCTTTTTATATTTATAGTTTATTTTTAAAAACTTTTACATTTGAATCATCTTTAATTATTCATTTTTTTGTGCTCACAAGTCGACGACCAAGTGTAGTAATGCGCAACCATTTTTCTGTTTAATCCATGCCATTTAGCTACAAGAGAAATATACTGCTGGACATAAAGCCTAGCCTCTATTATGCTCTATGCTGGTCTCTCCTGCCAGCTGAAGTTAATAAGATCATCTCAGGCTATCAGCCATGTCAGTTTATTAAAAATTATATTTCAGGAACTATCTCACACCCCATCATTAGGTTGTGATGTGACATTGGAGCCATAGTGTCCAATTGATATATAAATGTGACAGTTTGGATCCAGTATCACACACCTGATGATGGGGACAGAGATGCTCTCTGAAAACACTAGTTATTTTCAACCAACTGACAGATGATAGCCCAAGATTCTGTTGGTATACACATTTCCTATTTGTACATGACATGTTCTGTCCATTACATCATTCTTTCTCTGCTTACCTTGACATTACTGAGTGAATAGCACAAAGTATGAAGCTCCTCATGAAAGTGCTCCACACCCTCAATTTGGGTGTTTCCTTCCACACAATGACAAACCAAGTTTTACCCCTCAAAAAACAAGGAAAAATCATGGTTTTATATTTTAATCTTTACAATTTTTGATAGAATATGAGAACAAAAATTATTTTGAACAGAAAGGAAACAAGTGTTTTCTAAATGTTATCCCCTCTGAATTTCATAATGAACATCATTTCAACTTAACCTTTATCATTCCTGCATCGCAATCTGCACTGTCCTATATTTTTACTTCATTAGATAACACAGCTTGCTCCAAATGATTGTACCAGAATAAGTGGTAAACTTTGGAATTTAAGATATCTGTACAATGGAAAGACTATACCATTCAGATGAAAGTTTAGTTCCAAATTTCTCATTTTGTCTCTGACCCTTTGAATAAAATTAAAACTCCTGAAGAGAAAGCAAAAACTGTGAAATCGGCACATGAATACGGTTAACTGATGCTACTCAAAAATGCTTTCATCATGTAACTAACATGGTGGCACCCAGATAACATACCATACAAAGATAGATTAAGCAGAAGCAGAAACACAAGTCAGGATTTAACTGAAGAAATGGAATCTTTCTACAAATCCTCATTTTTGGTGGTTACATGTCATTTGTTAAGCAAAGTGAACCACCATAACACTAGGATCCTGAGATGAACAAAATTAAGATCTAGGAACACTGAAGACTGTGCTGTCACATTTACAAATCTATGACCCTCCCCCTCACAAGTGAGGGCCAAACTGCCCTAACTGATAATTCAACCTATAAGACTTTTCAGTTATAGAAAATCACAACCTATCGTAACATTCCAACTGATAAGTGACCTCTGCAATTTTCAGAAAGTATTCCAAAGGACACAGAATATGGCCTGTTTATTGCCAAAACTTATACCCTATGCAATTCTTACATCAGAGCCCTCCGAAAAAAAAAAATGAGTCTCTCATAATCAACTAATGAAACAGAAAAAAATTAAACTTCTCCTTTGAGAAGCTGTCTAATTCATCCACATGGATGGGTTCCATAATGCATTCTCAGAATATGATTTAGACTGATTATAATCAATCACAAGAAACATGAAATTTATTTAAAAAAATGTATATAAAATTTAGAAGCATCTGGATATTCCATTCTTTTACATCTTGTTTGTATCTTAAATGATAAAATAAATATGAACTTATGGAAACATTTTCTTTATAGCAGCTGCCAACTTAGCATCACTTTCACTTTTCCGCTGCTTCAGTTCCTTTTCTTTTCTTCTTGCTGCTGTATTTCCTGGGTCTAACAGCTGAACCCGGTTCAAGCCTTCTTTGGCTTGCTCAAACTCTTGAGTCTCCATATAAGCAACAGCTCTCCGGAACAGAGCCTTTATATTGTTGGGTTCTAAAACCAGAACTTTGTTGCACATTTCTATTGCATATGAATAATTTTTATAGTGAAGATGACAAGAAGCAATATTGTTGCATAATAAGACATGTAAAGACATAACATCATCCCTCTGTTTAGCACTGAAGCCATCTTCAAAAGGTACAATAGTTACTAGTAATTTAAGAGCTCTGCTAAACCTGAAAAAGGCATCTCTGGTCCTTCCACACTTGTAAAGTTCTACACCACGTACCTTATGATGTACAGCTAAATCATACTTTTTACTGTCACTCCACTCAAAGATATAAGGTTCATTATGTATTTCTTTCAACTGAACTTTACATTTAACAGTTCTTGCTTTCAAACTACTTTCATGAAGTGTTTTTGGAACAAATGTCACAATCATCAAGCTTACTTCCATATGCAGCATTGTCCGAATGCATCTCTCAAGGCTTCTATCTATATCTGTATCACTGTCACCTACAATCAATGAACCATTAAAGTCTGAACTTAAATAAACGGATGCAGCTGCCCACTGAATTTCATCCAAGGCAATGTTCTCTGTTACTATATCATCAATTATTATAACACATTTTCCACCCTCTCGTGGTCTGTCACCCCAAACACCTTCTGCTATCATTTCCTTATGACAAATGACAGTAGTTTGCGAATTTAACATTTCCGTAAGAGTGGGATCCATTTTTAACTTTCAAGATACAGCCAACTTTTTTACAGGTATTTCAGTCATGAAACTTGAGCCCTTGTATCACTTCATTTATTCCGTTTTCTGAAATGTCACTGACGTTTTCGTTATGCATAACAAAACTTTAGGTGGCTTATATACTGCATCACAAATAATAATCTCCCAGTTTACTGGTTAGGCATCGGAAACTACAGTACTCATTACTTCCTAAAGGGGTTACTGAAACATAAAACATACAAAATATTAAATTACTATTTGTCTTAAGTGATAACGACAAAAACAAGAGAAACCAATCTTTCGAGCTACTCTATCCATTCACCTTTACTTTAATTCAAAAGCAATTTAAAGGCTGCTGTAAGTAATTAAATGTTGCCGCTGCATTGAATTTGAGCTGAAAATGCAACCACTAATCATTCAGATAGTCATATTCGAATCCCGGCTAACTCGTCGTTAGTATCAATTAAACAACCTGATGAACGATCATTAAATGACAATATCACGATATGTGTCACCAAATGTAACTCTGAAAAGTCGTTTCTTAGTTTTTAAACATTTACCTCAACTTTTAACCACTGCGTTCATAAATCGAACACTTATGCCGAGACTTCTCAAAATCATAAACATCATAAATCGTACGGGCGATATTTCAACATCAAGGTCGCCAACACCAGTTTATTTACCGTTACAAAGTTACATTTCTCGCATTTGACACATTGTTGCCACTACAGAAAAATTGTTTCACGATTTAAACTTCGATGAACTTTCTGCTTATGGTCTTCTAAGTTGTGACACCGTGTAGTCTTGTGAACGGATACAGACATTCAGGAGATACACGCTGCCATCTTCACGAATGTAATATGTCGCTTTTCGTCACGAGGGAAATACAATTCTGAGAAAAAGTCTACTATTTCAAGGGACACTGTTGCTTCACGGTATAGGAAATTGAGAAAACGCCGCATTTTCGGGGCCCTCGTTTTCTTAGAGGGGAAAATGAAATGTTGGTGGTGAGAAAAGACGTTCATAATTTCTCTGATATGCTTTTTTTTTTCCATTGGTGCAACTCGAGTTGCCACCAACTGAAACAAATTTTGAATGATGGTACAGTTTTTTCAGACTTGCAGTGCATAATTTACGTATCAGGCCTTTCAAAATGAAAGCAGAACCCTTAGAATTTGTCTTATGTGATAAGATATAATACCCCCCCCCAAGCGTCGATTGCTTATTGTAATGAAACCAGTCATAAACGTCTGGGGATTTGTTGGATGCATGGTATACTATTGTGTAATGCACTTAGTACAGTCTGTGGACTTTCATTCTTATTATTAACACATGCACATATTTCAGGAATAAAAAGTGGAATATCTAATGACAAAATTGACAAACTTGCAACAAACAGAAAGACCAAGGACTTTACATGGTTCTATATAGGGGAATAAATGAATTTAAGAGGGGTTATCAACCTAGAAGTAACTTGAAACTACTACTGCAAAGTTGAAAAAGGTATAAATCACCAGGTACTGATCAAATTCCAGCACAACTGATTCAAGCAGGAAGCAAAATATTATGTTCGAAGATCCAAAAGCTAATTACTTCTATTTGACATAAGGAAAAACTCGCCTTATCAATGGAAGGAGACTATTATTGTACCAGTTCACAAGAAGGGTGATAAAACTGACTGCAGTAATTATTGGGGGATATCACTGCTATCAACTTCATACAAAATTTTATCCAGTTCTCTCAAGGTTAAGTCCATACATAGATGAAATTACTATGGATCATCAGTGTGGGTTTTCACTAACAGATCAACTACAGATCAGACCTTTTTTGCATTTGTCAGATATTGGAAGGGAAAAAAATTGGCGTACAATGAGACAGTACATCAGCCATTTGTAGACTTCAAGAAATCCTATGACTCAGTTAGGAGGGAAGTATTGTACAATATTCTGATAAGAGTTTGGGATACCCATGAAACTAGTTAAGCTGATTAAAATGATTAAACAAAATGTACAGTAATGTCAATATATGTAAACATTTGTCTGATAAATTTCCTATTGAAAATTGTCTAAGACAAAGAGATGCTTTATTGCCAATCCTTTTCAACTTTGCTTTAGAATATGCCATTAGGAAGGTCCAGGAAAACCAGGTGGTACTGAAATTAAATGGGACACATCAGCTGTTGATATATGCTGCTGATGTGAATATACTGGGTGATAACATAAATATCATAAACAAAAACACAGAAACTTCAACTGACACTAGTAAGGAGGTTGGTCTAGAAGTAAACATATAGAAATGGTACAATAGGCCAGAAGTGGCCACAGTACAAGGGACTTAGTCCCACCCCACTAGCAATAAAACATAGAGAAAACTATGTAATGTTGCTGCCTTATCACCAGAATGCAGGGAAAAATCATGAAATAAACATAGTCAACAGATCCTATGAAAATATGTCACAGTTCAAATATTTTGGAATGACGGTAACAAATCAAAATTCTGTTCATGAGGAAATTGACAATGAATCAAGTAATGCTTGCTACCATTTAGTCCGGAACCTTTTGTCTCCTCAGGTGTTGTCTAAAAAATGTAAAAATTAGAATATACAACTTAATGTCCATTATTTATCGTTCCTCAATATTGCAGCACTCTTCCATTCACCACTCAATTTTAGTTTAACATTATACATCTCAACATTACATGTTTCGGCCCCAAACGGCCATCTTCAGATGTCTTGATGTTACAAATATTTTATTGAACTGTGTTAAAATCACACACTGTAGTCTTCTTTTTAAGGTAAAACCAGATAAAATCCTTAAAAGTTTCTATTATACCCACGTTATTTTGGTGCATATTGTTTCACCTCACATGGGGTGTCATCCATTTTCATATATGTATGTCTGTCCAGGGTGTTTTGTCTCAGTAGCTTGCCCCTCACGTTCATAGCCTACTTTTCTGTTATGACTGCCATATTCCCCTGGCTTGCATGTTTCCTCCACAGTGTGTGGTGTTGTCTTTACTAGTAAAGACTAGTCTACTAGTTACTAAAGGACTAGTAAAGACAACACCACATGCTGTGGAGGAAACATTCATGTTATTTCTGTCACTGAATATCATGCAAGTGTAATTCAGTAAGCACCCATCGCATTCTCATTAGCTTGGAGTTCAGACCCTAAAGTTCATTTGTCATACCTTACATACCAGAAGAACAAAGAGAGAAATTAAAATATCTTATTTTAAAGTAAAACAGATACGAAAACATATGAACCCATGAGAACTGCAATGACAAAGGCTTGTGTACAGCATCTGCATTATACTTAAAGGTGTGTTAGGTAAAATAGGCAGCAAAAGATCTGAAATGAGAAAAAGGGCATTGAAAGAGAGCCGTTGTCTGCATAATGACATGTGCATGTTATGAAAAGCAGGCAGGCTATGTACCACACTTATCAGCCTGATCTCCCTTTTCTTCACAACAATCAAATTTAGAGTTGATGATGGCAGGCCTAGTCGCTTGGCTACATCAACCCTCTTCTCTGGTGGGGTTTTCTCCACCTATAATACACAGTCGTTCTTCTGAATCCTGAACTTCTTTCACAGGGAGAAAATTGTTTTAAAGATAATGATGGCACTAACAATAACATGAAGCACTGCATAGGATCGAAAACACATGATGAACTGTGTACTCAACTAGGCAAAAGCATGAACTGAAATGATTCACACTAACATACAGGAAAGTTGTTCCAGCTGGACCAGGGTCTCCCCAGCCCCCTAGCTCATTGTCTGGTAGGTAAGATGGGCTCAAGGTCACATAGCCCAAAGCTAACAAACATTTGTGTGATGTTGCGCTTTCTTAAAAACGCAATTCAGGATTAACATTCTTCAGGACTAAATACTAACCAACACGTGGGGAAAATGATAAACTGAAAAACAACTGATGTGGACTGTATTCCCATAGTTTACATAGGAATTATTTAGAGACCATAGCAACTGAACAATGGATCTGAGAAAGCGATACATCTGGGAACAATAGATCATGGTTTCACTATATAAGATAAAGTTGTCCCTGTGCTTAATTAACTAAGCACTACACCATGAAGGCATATTGGGCAGCAGATGTACAGATCCACATTTTCTTCACCTTGACACTAGTTGGAAGTAAGTGGTCAACTTCACACGCCGGCCACTGTACCCCTGGGAAAGAGCCCCCAGTACCCACTGTGTAGGAGGTTGGGTGGACACCAGAGCTGGTCTCAACGAGAAGTGAAAATTCTTGACCCTACTGGGACTCAAACTCTGAACCCTCAGTCGTCCAGCCCATAGCCAGTCGCTATACTGACTATGCTATCCTAGCTCCCTTTTAAACACACACAAATTGAATCAGGTAATTCCCTAAACCCTTGGTGGCAGCTTAAATGTACTGAACTGGCCAAAAGATTTCCTTGCTGTGACAACATCTAACACTGCACAATTGTCATCACAAAAGATCAATACTGTGCTGTATTCCAACTCTGATAAATTCTAATATTATCCTGTCATATATACCTCAAGTCTGTCACACGCTCTCTTTCCATGAGAATATTACATGTTTTGTTTTCCCTGTAAATCTCAGTCTCAAGCAGTCTCATATATTCTATGCATAATGCATTTCTTGTTGCCCCCATACCCTTTAACATATTCCACCTACTTGAACCTCCTTGATCTTTGTTGTACTCTGCAAGAAACAAGTTTCATAATTTTATAACACAATAAGCAGAATTATTGTTTCATTTATCAGTATTTTCATATGATTTTGAAAGGGGACAGGACACTAAAAGAATGTGAACTAAAAGTGCATTTTTTCTTAATTTATTCTGCTCTTAATTTATAACAAATACTATACTACAGAACTTACTGTTATTTCAAATGATTAACATTATTTGTAGACACACATGTCACCATAAATGCACTGCATCCTGGAACAAGACACACTGGGTAACTCTCTCAAGGTGAAGGTGGCCATGTTCCCATGGATATGGCTCTTTATGACGACCCCTAAACAAGAAGCACAAACATCTCTCTATGTAGCAGTTGCACCAGAGGTGGACAATGATTCTGAAAAATATTTTGAGTAAATCTCCCACAGATATGTATGTTAAATGAGTACGAGAATTGTTAAAGTACATTCTATCCTGTACACTACTGATTTAATACCTTTATTATATATTCCAGAGACTGTGAGCTGAAAGAACTAGCACAGCTGGCTATGGATGACAACCTGGCAGATACACTTTATAAAAAATCTTGTGATATGGTTCACGGCGAGCCTTCCATACTTTAGATGCAAATTTACTACACAATCAAGATTAACCTTTATCATTCATGTTTTGAAGTACTGTAACAATGCATGCATGTGGTCCAGCTCGTGAAGTGTTGAATTTTTCAATACTAATGTTGTTACCCTGGCAGCCACTTAGTATCAAGGGATTTAACATCCACTGTTCTCAGATTATAAAGGTTCAAATTAAATATGGAACTATAAACTATGCTTAACTACAAACATGAAATGTTAATTTTCACTTGTATTCTCATTGAAGAAGACATGTATTATCCTTAATTAAGTTCTAATGGAAAATAATTATATTACTTAAAAACTGAGTATAAAAGTATTATAAAATACTTTTAAAAAATCTGTTAATTGCAGATGTTTCATTTCAGCATTTTGTAACAATTCTTTACCTAAAGGTAAAAGTAAGGTAAAGCTGTGCCTATGCTATTAAGCTCTACACCATGAAGACATATGGAAAGTAGACATACAGCTCCACTGTTCTTGACCTCAGCACTAGTACGAGGGTCGATCAATAAGTACCTGTGTTAGGAATAAAGACACAAGTTTTTCACTTTTTTTTTTTTTTATTTTTCAACGTAATCTCCTTTCAGGTCGATACACTTTTCCCAACGTTTCTGCCATTTCTTTAACCCCTCCAAAAAATACGATTTGTCAAACTCTTCAAAATACGCTTCTGTCTCGGCGATAACCTCCTCGTTTGAGCTGAATTTTTTTCCCCCGAGCCATGTTTTCATGTTGGGGAACAGAAAAAAGTCACAGGGAGCCAGGTCAGGCGAGTACGGTGGGTGTGGCAGCAATTCATAGTGCAGTTCATGCAATTTGGCTACGACAATTCCAGATGAATGTGCTGGTGCGTTATCGTGGTGAAACAGCACCTTTTTCTTAGCCAAATGGGNCCTCGTCAAAAACAGATGTACGACCACGTTTAAATTCGTTGAACCAATATCTCACGGTTGTCATAGATGGTGAAGGGTCCCCATAGACGGCATCCAACTTCGCTTTTATTTCTTCGCATGTTTTTCCATCCAAAAATAAAAAGCGAATTACGGATCGATATTGCACTTTCTCCATTGTATCAAGAAAGACAAAACACGTCTGATGCAACTGGCTGCCAAATAAAAACTAACCTATGAATCAGTCTGAAATTTAGTATGGGGTCGTTTGACAGATGGCAGTACACGACGGTAAAGCCAACTTCCCTCAGCAACGCCACCTGTCTTCAAACACGGGTACTTATTGATCGACCCTCGTAGCAGGTGAGTAGTCAGCTTTACCCCTGAGAAAAGAGCCTATGGTACCTATTGGATAGGAGGCTGACTTAAACTAAACTAGTTATTGCTAGAAATAATGAATACATGCATATAAGCAGTTAAAAAGGAAAGGAACAGTAATACAATGATATGCAACATTACTTGCACAATTCTTACAAAAATAAAGTGTCTTCAATATGAAAAAGGGCAATAAAATGAAAGCTATCAGTCATACCAAAATCTTATAGATGAAAGATGTCACCAATATGAAACCTTTCTCTCACATCTATACAACATAGGTTAACAAAAGCCTTACTAACAACTTTTGATCAAAATTATTTTTTCTCAATTAATTATCCAACTATATTAACCCCGGTAGGTACATCTCACATGTTATTTGCATTAAGAGTAATGAAGGCTTAACTGTGTACTATGCATATTAATTTCTATTTGGAAAGAAACTACTAGAGAACATTACATTTTCATTCATTTGGTATACTTCTTGATAGGAAAGTCTGCTTAAAAAGAAACTACTGATATGCTGTAAGTAATAAACCAGTGACAAGTATGGGTGGAATCTATCATGATCTATTTCAAATACAATAGATCTCATGTAGAGATCTATTTAGGGGACTACTGATCTTAACTTTTCCTTGTGAATATATATATCCATTATTAAACTTCATCACAAATAACGAACATTTTCAGACGAATTCGGATGTGTGAGAACTCCATTGGGACTGTACATATGTTTTGTATTTATATGACATATTCCACATCCTACAGTCATTTTGACTAACTTTGGATCCATGGAATGCAATGCAATGTAATGTAATACAAAGGTTTCTGGTAGACCTGAGATATATCATAAAAGAATGTAGAAAATTAAAGTTTGCCTCATGTAGAATGAAATAACTGAGAAATGTGCTGTCTGGATGAAATTTAGAGCATTTTTATATACCTAAATTTTATGTGCCGCTGTTCCAGTAAAATACTATCCTTGGTATTCCTGGTTTGGCTTCCTCTTCTATATCAATTACTGATTACTTTATTGTATCGAGTCTTGTCCACTTCTCACTGACAGCCCACAGCCACTGTGCCATTATATCATCCTTGGCTTGTGGTGCTACTTCCTCTTCTGTGCAGTTGCTACACAGAAGTAGAATAATTAAAGACGATGACAGCGGCATCTACCAAATGAAATGTTTAGACTGCCTGCTCAAATACATAGGACAGTCAGAGCATTCCATATCATATAAAAAGAACATATACAAGCAATTAGAAATAATAACAGTAACTCAATTATACTCACCCCACATATTAAAAACAGGACATAAATACAGAACCATAACAGATACTATGGATATCATAAGCACACGTAGAAAAAGAAACACTTAAAACACACTGGAAAGATACCACATATACAAGATCAGCAAAGATAACCTGCAAATGGACAAAAAACACTGACATGCATAACCCAATATTCAAAGCATTACCAGAAACAAACACCAGACAGCATCACATAACACATCCTACATCCTAGGTAACAACAAAACCAATGTCACGAAGACACATACAATGACAGTGATCGTGGACCAGAACACAAAAAACTACCACTCCGTCAAGAACACTCATGACAGCCACAGCCAACAAACCAAACAAAACCGTAAGTAATTAATAACATTTTAATAATGATGTAATTGTACATATCACTAACTGTGATAGTTATCACCAACAGATATCACCAAAATGCAGGGAAAAATCATGACATAAAGGTAGCTAACAGATGTTCTGAAAATGTGGCACAGTTCAGATATTTGGGAATGACTATAACAAATTAAAACCTGATTCAGGAGGAAATTAAGAGGAGACTGAATTTTGGTAACGCAATCCTTCCAGCTGCACTATGGCCCTGGGGTTCACTCAGCCTCTAACAGAAATAAGTGCCAGGAATTAATTAAATAATTTTCCTGGGGAGTAAAGCACTGCTGGGGCATAAGGCTGACAACCTTACTGCCATCTTTGAGCCGACTGTCTAGATAATGTGGAACCCTCAACGTCTCACAACCCTATGGGCCTACACGGCCTGGTATAGGGATACCTTTACTTTTTTTTTTTTGCTACCATTTAGTCCAGAAAGTTTTCTATTCTCATCTGCTGTCTGAAAACATAAAAATTAGAATACACAAAACTACAGATTTGCCTGTGGTTCTGTATGGGTGTGATATTTGGTCTCTTGACATTAAGGGAGGAACATAGACTGAGGGTGTTTGAGAACAGGGTGTTGAGGACAATATTTGGACAGAAAAGAGAAGTGATGGGAGCCTGGTTAAAACTGCATAATGAGCAGCCTCATAACTTGTACTCCTCTCCAAGTATAATTATAACAATCAAGTCAAGGATGAAATGGGCAGGGCACGCAGCATGAATGAGGTCGAAGAGGAGGGCATATAAAATACTGGTGGGAAAGCCAGAAGACGAGACCACTAGGAAGACCAAGGTGTAGGTGGATGGACGATATTAAACAGATCTCAGAAATATAGGATAGGATGGTATGGATTGGATTGATCTGGCTCAGGACAGGGACCAGTGAAGAGCTCTTGTGAACATGGTAATGAACCTTCACATTCCATAAAACACTCCACAATTGGTGGCTTCTCAAAAAGGGCTGAGCTCCATGAGTGAATATTCTTTGTTCCAGTTAACAAAAATGTCTGAGTTGCAATCTGGAGGTTGTTACTCAAATGGTTAGGGCATCATTTTATTATACACTCCATGCATGAAGTGAATGCACATGATGCTCATGTTCATTCACATGTTTTACCCTCAAAACAACAACAGATTTCTATTAAATTTTATATTGGTGGTCTACAATCGGAGTTCATGGGAAAATTTCATTACATTCCCTGTCAGGACCAGCTATACAGAAAACCTTATTTATATGGCGATTCTTTCCATTTACCAAGGTTTATAACCACACAATTCAAATATTTAACAACCACAATAACATCCCTTTACAGTTATCACTGTTACTTATTCTTATGAAGTCAGATTGTATACATGTAGGCCACCATTATTACATTATTATTATTCAGATAACATTAAACTTACTTGAAATATTTTCCGCTTACATCTTTTAGAGACTCTTCTAGAGCCATATAGACTGTAGTTCGTGCTCCTTGCCCAGGACTCTTGATGAACATCCAAATAAATGGCTTGAGGAATATGGCAGACAGTGTACTATTAAAGAAACTCATGTGTCGTACAATCTCTGTATCCACAATGCCAGGATGTACAGCATTCACTGTTACACCAGTTCCTGTCAAGGATAAATTATATTATAATGAGTACTGTCTAGAGAAAATGTGGGAGCCTCGACATCTCACAACCCTAAGGGCCTTCACAGCCTGTTACAGGGACAGAATTGCCTTTACCTTTTTATGAGTATAAGCATTTTTACTGGGAAAGAATATGCAGTTGAGAAGAAACAAGAAGTTCTGGGAGAATTAACAGCCTACTTTCCATTGGTACAGCTTGGACCGCAAACAAAATGACGCCTCCAACGATTCTTCAGTGTCACAGGAATGTCTCTATTGAGTTGTTACCTAGCAACGACAGGGGGATACACAGACACATTCGTCCAACAATTCTTCTACTGTTGCATGTATTCGTTGCTGCAGTAACACGTTTACTGAGGGATAAACTTTACCAAGCCTTTGCCTAGGAATAATTGGAGAGATTCACATATAGACATACAAAATTGTGGGAGGGAATTACAAAGTACACCACTGAGATGGGCTCAAGTGCCATGATATATGTACCAAGTTCAACATAGTCTGGTTCAGCCATTCAAAATTTAATGGAGGAGAGAGTATTCACAGACTGGAGATTGCATAAGACTACTATAGGAAAGTAGGCTAAAAATTTAATCTGCTTCTCTAAATTTCTATTAACATGGTTTTAATGTACTGTCACATTTTAGACGTGTTAACATACATGGGGTATAGATTTATTGACCCCTTATACACACCACTGAGAACTACAAGTAATTACAGCAGCACTATTGCTGATTTCCACACTACAAATCACTCCACGCTGTCTTCTCAGTCTGCCTTACCAGCCATTGCTTGGTAACAGCTCTCAACATTGGCTATTCCTCTGCAATGTTTTCACTAGACACTTCCCAGCAACAGCTTCTACTGAAAGAGATTCTTCAGCTTCCTGCATTCAGGTTCTCTTATCATAGCCGCCCGCTGGTTAACAATCCACACCTTAACTTTCAACTTAACTGTAGCACCATCTTCAAGATAACTCCTCAGTACACACCATGCAGAAAACACAGCTCCCCTATTGTTGTAAAAGCATGTTCCCCACTGTTGGAATAGCAACAGTTGCAGTGTGGACCACATAGAAAACATTGTTCTCATATTGTGTGCATGTATGTTGCGGATGTTACCTACCAACAGCCTCTGTTTACAGAGTCATTGCTTAGCAACAGGTCTATATGCCACAGTATTATAAATTTCATAATCATGCATATAAAACAATGTTTAATGTAAAATGGTGGATGGCAGAACCCTAATATTATTTTCTAAAGACTAACTTATTAACGAGTTTGCAGGAGAAGATAGTCCAGTCATGAATCAAATGTCTACAAAAAAATTTTTCTACACAGAAAATTCTTCATGCCCACAGGATGGTTAACAAATCTTTTACTTGATTTATGACTCTGTTTTCATAGCAACTTTTATTCTTTGAAGAGGGCGCGCCATAGCTCAAGCGGTTAGTCGCTGGCTTCCCACCGTGGTGGCCCGGGTTCAATCCCGGGTCTGGTCAAGTGGGATTTGTGGTCGTAAACAAAGTGGCGCTAGGGCGGGTTTTCTCTGAGTACTTCAGTTTCCCCTGCCAATTTACATTCCACCAAATTCTCCATCATCATAATCAGCTGGGGCAGGTACAATAGACCAATCGGTGGCTGCCGTACCAAGTGGACAAAGCTGGACTCCACCCCCCACTAAGCGAATTTTGTTCTTCGAAAACTTAATGTATCAAAAACTTTTGACTAAGGTAATAATTAATTTTAGTACTAATTGCTAATCTCATCACAGTAAGTACAAAACACATTTTCTTTTAATCACAATCTATGCTTCTTTGAACATGTTAAGAACATTATTTTGCTATGTAACACAAATCAGATGCTGCCAATACTAGCTCAAAAAGATCCACAATCTTCAAATATCAGATTCTGTGATATAAAAAGACATGAACATCGTCAAACTTTCTCTAGAATGACAACAGGTACTTCCTTTGTATCTTTACATTTTCTTTTAGCAGCTACATACCTTGTGTTTAGCATTACTAGTACTTTGTCTGGCGCAGGAGTCTTACTAGGCATGTCAAATAAAATTACTTTTCTTTCCAGTATATCCAACTCTGAGATTTGAGAGTTTTGGCAGCTGAGGCCTGCAACCCAAAAGAGGCCAGAAACAAGTGACCTACAGCAAACTGAAAGAGGACACTTGCCTTGCAATCTTCTAGCTAGTTCTCTGGTGAACAGCAAATTGGCTAGTTTGCTTTGGTAATAGGCTTCAGCCTTATCATAGTGCTTGTCACTATTTAGGTCCTCCTTGTGGATTTTACCTTTATGATGTGCAACACTTGACACGTTAATTATTCTGCTTGGAGCAGATGCCTATAGAAAACGAAAGTGCAACACATTACTAGAAGTATAATGCTCACTCTTGTAGAATACAATTTAAAACTTTGAAAAACCTTCCAGTGTAGCTGTTTCACTGGTCAAGATTCCACTCTGTCACTGGCTCCAATTTTATTTCAGTCTCCAGACACGCACGCGCGCACACACACACATTGCAGTCCATTTCAGTCTATTCATGCCAGTTGAGAAACAAATGAAAAGCATCTCTGGATTGATGAATCCAAATCACATAAAGATAACTTAAAGGCAAAAGAAACTCCAAGTAATTGAATTGAAAGTTATGACCCAATAATCTGCAGCTCAGAAAGGAAGCATACAGATCTTGAATGAAACAGTGTCATATGACTGACACTTTTACCTTCTGTCCTTTTAGCATATAAATTACTGAATGAGTACCATCATATGATATGTATGTATTCGCCTCATGTCAGTCTCAGCAAGATCAAGATGGTTTTTTATTATTATTATTGTCATCATTATCATCATCATCATTATCCATAATGTGTATATATTAACCGTCTTTTAGTGCATACAATTTCACTTGTCACTTCACACTACATGTTCCGGCATCATTCTGTTGTACTCGGGTGTATTAATCATGTTAAACCTTTGCACTGCCTGCCATCAAGTGTCCATTTATAAAATGATATAAAATGTGTATTAATATTGTTGCGTATCGGGCGTATATCGCGACAAATAACTTCATGCCGTATTTGATATAGCGAATTTTATTTCACATTCGCTCATACAATCACCCAAATTACAGATTTACGATTACTGCTATCTGCAGTATCACAATTAGTACACTCCAAATGCCACAATACAACTGACTAGTTGCTGGCTAACTCGGAACTAACTCGGAGGTAGCTCGAGGACTCACTTGGTGGTAGCTCCAGGACTCGCTGACTGACTGTGAATAGCCTTCGCTGCTCCTTATGTAGCCTTGATCGGACAATTGTCGTCTGGTGCCTTGTTGCTAGCCACACTGTCCGGAGTTGTTGACTGCTGCCTAGCAACCACAATATCCCTCGGTGACGTCACCGCTGTTGCGCGTTGCATAGCTACCAGGATGCGGGGTGATTACTCGCCTATTACGCGAGCGCTACGTTACAGCTACGTGCAGCTGGGGAGGTAGGGGTCAACATGTCACAATATATATACATTATGGATACAAATCAGTGCAACGGGACACTAAAATAAGACAGTTAATATATACACATTATGGATACGAATCAGTGCAACATGGCACTAAAATACATCGGTTAATATATACACATTATGGATACGAATCAGTGCAACAGGACGCTAAAATACAACATCATCATTATTAAATTTTTCCAAAAAAGATGCGAATGATGCAGATAAAAGGCCAGAATTTTCTTCTCTCTCACCGCTCATAATTCATTATCCTATGCAAGTGACTTTAAATAATGATGTACTACCACAATTTATCCTTTTTTCTAAAATAATTGTGATAATTCTAAATTGGTTAAAACATCCTATTTCAAGGGAAGGGCTCATTTTTAAACCATAGCCACATAAATACCACTACATATGCGACACGTATTACTGTACGAATCAAAAGATATATGGGAATTACCATATTTACTCATGTCAACAACTCGCCTGATTTATGAAGAGAAAATAAAAAAGATTATTTCTTGCACTTCATTGGTTCTCCTTTGCTTTGGCTAGATGGGTACCGCTGTTCAGATCTGTCCCTCTCTTAATGACTGCAAGGATGATGAAATATAATATAAAACCTTTGTATTCATGTGTCAAGTATTTAAAACTCATAATTCGCAAATAATCTTAACACAGCAAAAAGAAGGAAATGATTCATCAAGTCAACAATGTGCATTACGCATTTCATAGCTGTTAGCATACTTCATGAAAGTAAGAATGAAAACAGTGAGAATTAGTGTTCCACTGCACTACATGGATTATACCTGCACAAGGGCCCACCAGAAAGTTCTGAGACTAATGCGTTTCTTCAAGCACTATAAAAAGCTTAAGGGCACAACTGAGATGACAACACTGTTCAGTAGTGGCAACCTCCTGTCATCTGCTAACTACTCATAAAGTTTACACATCATATAGGTGACACCGGTCCCCTTCATGCATAACGTGATGAATCTTGGAGTTATGCCTGTGACCTGGACAAAAAAGTAACAACTGCTCCAGTGGACAGCAACCGAGAAAAGAATGAGGGCAATGAAACTTGAAGCTCATGTTGTGCACCTTTTTCGACCACAAAGATCAGTTCACCATAACTATGATCCTGGAAGTCAATCTCTGAATCATATAATCTGTTCAAAGGATCTAGGTTAGAAGGAAACACTTAAAAACAAATGAAAATTCTGATGTATCCCTGCACTGTGCTGTTTGTAGCTAAATAACTGATGAAACACATCCCTGAGGAAACCACATCCTCTCCCTACTCCCCAGTTTGGTGTCTTGGGAATTCTTCCTCTTACCTAAACCGAAAGCTGTACATCAAGAAATATGACAATAAGGGCATCACTAAAAACAAAACAAGGAAACTGACAGCCATTGTGAAAGAACTTTATCCAGGCTTACAGAACTGACACGATTACTGAAACCAAGCTACTCAGTCACAGGGATGTTACTTTAAGGAAAGTGTGAAAGATATGCACATTGAGGGTAAATTACTGAACCAAGTATTAGAAGAAAGCAGTCTTCTGGGATTTGGCACCGTGTATATGTGGTGTTAACCNGTGCCAAATCCCAGAAGACTGCTTTCTTCATAGTCACCGCCGTGAAAGCCTCAAATCTTACAAGTATTAGAACTTTCTAATAGGCCTTCATAAGGACAGACAAATGTAATCACATGGCACAGCTTGATTTACCAGTTTTATTCCTTAGAGAAGGAAAATCCATAATTATAAAAAAGCCATATTACTACAGTTCCTTCTAATATGATTCATGTTATGAGGGGAAAACCATGTAATTGCCTCCCCCACATGCTAAAAAGAGAAGCACTGATATAAGTAGAATAAACTGCTTTCTGGAAAAGCAACTAAATATTTTAGCTATCCAGAACAGCTTGGTCTACAAACACCATGTAGCAAGACCACATTACAACTCAGCCCTTTCAAATGTCAAACAAAAAGCTAAGTTCTGAGCATGAAGAAAAGCTAAGAATTTTACTAAATTCCATATCTTGTGCTCTGCATTATATAAAGACCTCTATATCGATGTATATGCACTTACAAACAACATGTACATTTGTAAGATTTGAGGCTTTCACGGCGGTGACTATGAAGAAAGCAGTCTTCTGGGATTTGGCACATATACATGGTGCCAAATCCCAGAAGACTGCTTTCTTCAACATGTACACTTACCTTTAATTTATCTACTAACAGGTTCGTCAATAAGAAATGTCCCATATGATTTACACCAAGTTGCATCTCGATGCCTTCCTTTGTTTTCGTGTGGGGACATCTCATAATGCCCGCATTATTTATCAAGATATCAAGGCGCTGATGTTCTGTAACAGATAAAACAAACCGTGAAAATAATTTGTACATTAAAACATGACACTGTACTTACAAACATATCAGGTAGTTGAGCAGTGAAATACCATATTTCTTTCTTGTAATCCACTATTTCTTTTTAATTCTGAGAAAAACAAATGAACATGCAGTAGGCAAGAACACTGAAAGAGCTATTGATGAGCCACTGTTATGCCAGAGCTAAAAACTCCACACTATGAAGAGAGCTAGGGGACTGAGATAAAGAGCCATGCATCCTTAAAGTTGGCATTATACATTTCAAATTCTGATAACCTCCCCAAGGAAGAGTGTCTAATGCCCTTTGTAGAGAAGGCTGTGTGGTCCCCAGAGCATGTCCAGACATGGTGGTGAACAGAAGAATTCCTTCCATTGCCAAGTCACTGTATTAAATGGCCTATCCTCACGGATACATTTCATTACTGCAATCCACTGTGAAATCAGGAAATACATTACTGTATTTGCAATCACAACAAGAACTTACCTGACTTAAACCTCTCTGCAAACTGTATTATGGATTCCTGTGATGCTAAATCACAAATTCTGCAATACACATATTTATTCTTAGTCCTAAGAACAATATCTTGTCGTGCCTGTAAAATCAAACTCTGTATAATTACTCAAAGGCAAACCTATTACAGTAACATAAATCTCAGAGAAGTCTGGAACAAATATTTTATAATCTTGCATACAAGCTAAAATACACATTAATGGTTACCCACATATTCTGTCTTGCCTGTACATTCTCGAGTGCACAAACAAATGAACAACATGTGTGTTAACACAACTCAGAATTCTATGGAGTTACTGGAGTTTTCTCCATCACTTCATCTCATTCTAACATTTTTCTCAGTGCCCTGTTATCATCAAACACTCTTAGTTCGTGTTCTTCCCTTAATGTCAGAGACCAAGCTTCAAACCAATACAGAACCACAGGCAAAATTACAGTTTTGTATATTCTAATTTTTATAAGATTTACAAGTTTGTGATGATGGTACACTGCTACAAGTATTATGTTTTTGGACATTATCCATCGTCCTGTTTATTTTTCAAAATACTAGGTTTCGAAGACTGGATTCTGTCCCCCATCCTCAGGTAAAACCTACTCATTCGGGTCCAATAGATACAGCTAGTCCCTATCTCTGGACTTTTATGTTTTTAGACAACAGATGAGAAGACAAAAGAAGACAAAATTCAATCTCATCTAAATTTCCTCCCGAATCAGGTTTTGATTTGTTACTGTCGTTCTCAAATATGTGAACTGTGTTACACTTTCAATGGATCTGTTTGTATCTTTATGTCATGGTTTTGCCCTGCATTCTGGTGGCAAGACAGCAAAACCTTCTACTTAGGTTTCTCTGCATTTATTTCTAAACCACCCTCCTCAATACCAACAATTAAAGTTTCTGTATTTTTCTTTACAGTATCTATGGTATCCCCCCGTAGATTCACATCAGCATGTGTCCCATTGAATTTCAGTCCCACCTGGTTTTCCTGGACCTTCCTAATGGCATATTCTAAAGCAAAGTTGAAATGGATTGGCGATAAAGTATCTCCTTGTCTTAGACCATTATGGATAGGAAATTTATCAGACAAATGTTTACCTATACAGACTTTACTACATCTTTTATTTAAACAGATTTTAATCAGTCTAACTAATTTCATAGCTAACCCAAACTCTATGAAAATATTGTACATTTCCTTCCTAACTGAATCAGTCTTTCTTAAAGTCTACAAATAGCTGATGTAATGTCTCACTGTACTCCCATTTCTTCTCCAAACACAAGAGATCTGATCTGTAGTTGACCTGTTATGTCAAAACCCACACTGATGATCCCGAATAATTTCATCTATATGCAGACTCAACCTTGAGAGTAGTGTATGAAGTTGATAACAGTGATATCCCATGCTGCTCACAGTCTGCTCTTTCAAAGACGGCAAAATTTTCAGTAAATCTTCTGTGCAAGAGATGTGTACAGTACAATCTCCTCCTAAACATTCTTAACATGTACTGTACATGAACCTAAATGTATATTTTGTGCAATTCAAATAATTAAGTAATTCTGTTGCTCCATAATTAAAATACAATGGTGCAATTTTTTTAAGTACTGAAAGCTTAAGTAAAACACTAAGATAACGGAATAAAATCTGAACTGCTGCTATATTTCAGAGAAAAGATACCATAAATGCATTGACCACCATATTCTGAAGGAAAATATTTTCACTCTGTACTCTCTTTTTCAACACAAATCGAATAGAAAACTCAGAGCTTTTCTTACCACTTCACACTTTCTTGCATCTCTACAAGCCATGACAACATGTGCACCCCTCTTTGCCAATTCAAATGCCGTTTCTTTTCCAATCCCTGTATTTGATCCAGTAATGATAACAACCTTCTTGTCTATACGATGCGATCCTTCATACCTTCTCCCACCAGTATAATCCCTGAAAAAAAAAAACACTTTTTTGTTATTCGCTTTAAATCAGGTTTTCAGTGTCAATTACAGAATGTCATGTAACAAATCTACGATATATTAACTCCACGGCGCTGAGCCCTTCTTAAGCAGCTGTTAAATAACAAACTCTTCAGCTGGAATTTGGAAAAATAATTCATTTTTTCTTAACCTTGCCCGACGTATCAAAAACAAGTTTATATTCCTTAAATCGGTTTTGCTATTTATGGCTAATTCAATTAATTGCTCCTAACACTCCTCTTTCTTACTTCATCAAACACGCCAAGCTAGCGCATGTCGCTGCGGCACTCAGATAAACAACTTTTTTCGGTGGACTCCACACCATGTTCAAACTTTCCTCAATCCTCCGGCCCCTCAGACTAAATGTCTCTAATAAACAATACTTCAGAATGACAACTAAGTAATTAATACCGATTAATACTTGTCTACAGGTTCTCGAAAACCTGTCTATATCACGGTTACCACCATTACCACGTTCTCACCGCCCAAAAATCACGAGCGATCAGATGTTTACATGTAACTAGTCACCGTATTGGTGTGAGCAGTGCAGCCAACAGTGAATGTGGATTTCGGATGATGGTGAAGAGGGTCAAGAGACCAAACATATAGTAGTAATTCGTATGGTGTAATCAACACAGAAGTTGTGCTGACGAAAATAAAAATATAATTTCGTTATTGAAGTCTCCTCCTGATAATCCACGGCTCAAGTACATAAACACACGGCAGTCATTTTTATACGTAAGCAAGGTAACTGAAAGCACCACGAATCAGCTACACGTTAATCACCGTGGCATTATTGGATGCGTAGTATAAAATACTAATCGTTATGGTGCGTAATTTGTATTGCGAGCGTCTCAAAGTTTCATTTGGTTTACAGAGTGTTTAAACATTTATTATTAAGTAAGAATAATTCAAATAAATCTGGGGGTTTCATAGCAATGCTTATGAAGAGTTCCAGCTTCTGGGATGTAACGCCGTGTAATCCGTTTAAAGTCAATTGACGTTTCGAAGGAACATTTTGCCTCCATCTTCTGGTCCGAAAGATAAGCCAAGCAATAAACCAGCGTGATAGCAGGTCGGCTTGTGCTTGCCACCCTGATTTCTTGCTGGGCTTATTCTTCGACCCTAAAGATGCATGCAACATGTTCTTCCGAAACGTTAATTTACTTTGAACGGACTACACGGCGGTATATCCAATAAGCTAGAACTCTCCATAATTCACAGAAATTTGGTAAACTCGAAATACAGCACTAAAGCACAAACTGTTAAACAGAAAAGCTGTATTAATAATGGGAAAGGAAACGTTCACCATGAAAATGAGAAGAGCAACCAGGGAAATTCATGCAATCAGTGACGCGTTAGTCAACGCCAAACTTGCTTTTGGTAAGTTCTGGATTTTTTTTAAGAACACTAAACAGTAAAGCTATGAAGCTGCAAAGGCCCATAAGGTTGTGAGATGTTGAGGCTCTCACATTTTCTAAATAGTAGGCTCACAGATGGCAGTGAGGTTGTCAGCTTTATGTACTAGCCACCCTTTACCCCCCAGGATGATTCCTGCTACTAATTTCTGTTAAGAGGCTGAGTTGACCGCAAGGGCCACAGTGTGGCTGGAAGAATTAGGTCAACTGAAAAATCCAGTGACTTCATAAGGAACTGAACCCGAAACCTTCCAGCTTATACTTCAGCACAGCAACCAACTACACTGCCACATGCCCCCAACATTGTAAATAGCACATTATATAATGAATGAGGCGATGATTAGTGAAAAAAAAAAATGAAAAGTTTGGTCTAACTTAAGTACTAAGCCAACATTTGCATGAAATAACTGATAAGCTGCCCCCAGACCATCCAACTAGGAAACAGCATAGTTCAGTACATACTAAACACTCAAATGCAACTTTCTGGGAATTCAATGACAGTAATAAAGGCCCAATGCATTATGCCACTTACAAAATATGGATTGTATTACTTAATCATCCTTTTCCTATCATACACCAGTGAAAAAAGAGTGAAGGAAAATCAACTAACATGCTCAAATTTTGAGCATACATATTTACCGAATGCAGCAACATACAGCAACAAAACTGACTTAACAACTAACATAATCGCATGTTTTTATTCTACATGTATTATATCAATCTGGGCAGTCTTACTTACTGACAAAACAGAATTTCCAGGCATCAGGGATCATAAATAGGCATAATTATCTTATGTGGAGTTAAGAGTCTACCTAAAAAATACCTAGTATAAGAATGTGCACTCACAAGCACCAAAATAATTGGTTCTCATTACTTGCTGGAAAAACAGTATACAGTAATACTACTCGGGCCAGCAAGAGTACTGCGTTTTTCCACAGCCTGAAGAATGTGCTGACATTATCTCACAAGATAACACACCCCACACCACCAATTTCTGGTAATTTTATGAGGCAGTCATTGAATGCCTGGTTTCAGAATGGATGGATGGCCCACATCCAATTCTTGGCCTCTGTGTTCATCTGTTCTTGGTTCAATCAATTTATTTGGGGGGGGGGGACAAAGTGCACTCAGAAGTGACACTGTTACATGCATTGAAAGGGAGAATATCAGAAGCCAGAGCTGCAGTTACTCAAGGCAGGCTGAGAGTGCTCATGGAAAGGGCTAAATTACAGGTTGAGTGTATGCAGTGTTACAAATTGAGCTCATGGCACAGTAATACACCACAAATAAAAAAAAAACTTAGTTCATTTTGTTATCCTTCTACATATATAAAAACGTTTTCTAATGGTGATATAAAAGGTCTTGAAGTTATGCCACTTTTGGTTACCAGAGTTTATGTTGCATGAACATTAAGTTGTGCAGCAGGTCATGAATGAGTGAGCAGTGTTTTGCTTTGGTGCATTGTGGATACTCTTATGAGTAAAAGCTATCCCTGTAACAGGTCATTGAGGCCCACAGTGTTGTGAGATGTCAAGGCTCCCACATTTTTTAAACAATCGGCTCACAGATGGTGGTAAGGTTGTCAGCCTTACGCGCTGGCCACTCTTTACTCCCAAGAAGAATCCTGGTACTCATTCCTGTTAGAGCCATAGTGCAGCTGGAAGCATTAGGTCAATTGAAAAGTCCAATGACCTCACAAGGAACCGAACCTGCGACCTTCCGGCTTGTAGCACAGTGCCTCAATCAACTACAGTACTGCATGTCCCCTACTGATAATATTTTGAAGTAGATATGTGAACTGTAGTTAGTATTTATTATGGGATATGACTTGGTTTATGAAGATTTGGAATGGTTCTTTCCTTTTCAAAACATGCCTGTAGAAAATGTCCACATAAACCAGTTCAGTAAAATTTGGCAAGACTGTTAAGAACGTCTTCACCAAAATGCCGTTACCAGGCAAAGACATGTGAAGAAACATCAGACTGCAGTCTTAGTAATAGCTGTAATGAACTGCAGAGCATGAATTAGCGATAGTGGCTGTAGTTATTTGTAGTTACGATCTGTAAGTGCAATACATCCAATTACCAATCCAAACCTCATCTGTAGTCACACTGTAACACTTGAAAATATCAATAATACACAGAGTCTAAAATGAGGTAATTTTAATTTCTAATTCTAATTGTGTCTGAAAATGCTTAAGAAGTCTTTTCATTTTACAGCCCTTTCAGACAACCATGTGTGGGCTGAAGGTTTGCTGGTATTTTATGAAATATTTCGCTGCCTTGAAGAGGCCATGGTATCCTTAAAAGACACTCATGTTGGGGAACTTCATATTGAAGGTATGCAGAGGACAGAAGCATTTGAGAAGGATTTAAGTTTCTACCTGGGCCCTGACTGGATGAAGACTTATAAACCCAGGGACAGTGTAACAGAATATCTAATCCATTTGAAGAAACTTCAAAGTTCTGATCCAAACCAACTTATTGCATACATATACCATTTATACATGGGTCTTCTGTCTGGTGGCCAAATTCTTAGGAAAAAACGTGCTGTGGTCAAGAAGTTCATACCATTTTCAAGTGAGCAGACATATCAAGATGCAGTGACACATTTTGGAGCTGTCAGTATATCGAAACTGAAAAGGGATCTTGTGGAAGCAGTGAATCGAATTGCAGAAGGTTTGGATGATGAGACCAAAGAGAAGTTAATTAAAGAAAGCAAAACTGTATTTCTTATGAATAATAAGGTTATTAGAAGTATTGAAAGTGCACAGGAAGTAATCCTGAAAAAGCTGTTAACAATAATTATTGTTCTTTCACTCGTTGTAATCTTATACTACATCATATTCTGAAGTATGAAATGTTATGCAAAATAAATGCATGTAGTTTTATAATATAATTAAAGTAACTTTGCATGTATCAGTGCATGTACAATAAACAGGACAATTAAATAACACTTATATAATAGTGTACTAACTTTTTTCATGTCATATAAATATCCTGTTATCTGCTTCCTAATATGATACTGAGATTACAGAAGAATCTCTCAGTTCTCAATTTATTTTCTTCAATTTTTTCATTTGCTTTCTTTGTGAGAAATTCCAGGTACTGCAAACAGAAAGACATAATGTACATAGTTATTCTAACAATTTATGAACTTCACACAACCACATTCATGAAAAGCAAAATTGTCATATTCTGTCTAAATAAATACTGGTATGAAAACACCCATTCAAAATATATCTGGATGTATATGGTGAGACAAACAGAAACTACAACAGAACAGGAGGTCTTTAAAAAAGATTTGATACTTTGTAGTATGAATTTCTATTTTCATTATCAGTGACATGAAGGAATACGAAACAATATAGATTTGCTTTAAAAAGAGTTGTACCCTTATATTCATTTTACTCATTCGAGGAATATTTTAACTTCAATATTAATTAACGATCTTGGTCTGTTATGTGCTGGATGCCTATTAGTATATTTTTAGGTTTCATCATTGTAGTCTTGTTTCATATTAGTATGTTGCATTCTTTTACATATATATTTTATAACTAGGACGATCTCCACATCCGCATAAGAATGTACTCTCGACAGGATTTATGGAAAGTGAATAAATGAAATGAAATAACTGTTTTATTGATTTACTCATTGTGATTTGTCTTGGATAATATGTGTAACTGTTATGGAGTAAGTATTATTAATTTTTATATATATAATTAATGGGATTTGTCCTGTTGTCTTTGACTACTTCCATATCAACTGGTCTTCCAGCCATCTAAGGATCCATGGAATGTAAATAAATGAATGAATGAATGAATCCACCCAAACAAAGGCTGGAACCATTATCTTCCCCCTGAAAAATGTAATCAATTTTCAGCTTGGTCATGATTTCACCTGAACTCCCATTGTTATCATTTTCTGAATCCAAACTACTTTCAGGATGAAAGATGACATGACTACACTTCATGAGGGTGAAAACATGTACGTAGTGAAAGATTGGATTGGCACATATGAAGGCTATATGGCAAGAATCTATGAACAGAAACACAGGGACTGAGCAGGCTGGTCTAGCATTATGGCCTACACTTGTGTTCAGCAGGCAATAGCTTCAAATGTTGGTCATAATACCAGCTATCTTGCCAGAGGTTTTTCATCATTTTCCTCAGTCTCTCCAGGCAAATGGTGGAATGGTACCCTGACAGATCACAGTCACTTCCTTCCAAATTCTTTCCAATTCATCCTACCATTACATGCTATATAATCTGCACATTGATGGTTGATTCAGTGAAACAGCACCACCCTTCTTTAAGAAATTTACCACTGTACTCAGGGAGTTATACAAAGTGACCTCAGATGACTATTTGAAAAACTCACTTTGCTAATAGACTGACAAATTTTCATTTCCTTTGGAAAAACAGTTGACAGGTAGAGTCACTACACAACCACTGATGAGTTTTGCAGAATACTTTTTGGCTAATTAAAACTTAATAAGTATAACCTTCTATTTGTCTAATAAATAAACAAGAAAAAAAATAATAAACAAGTCTGTAGGTACAGCAGCGATATTACATTCAGACGCAGCACATGAGAATCTGTGTGGCCATATATATATA